TACAGGCCCGGTGTCGTTTCAGACTAAGAACGGCATGAGCCTTTTTAGCCTGAAACTGAGGGCCATTTTCGGGCCCTCGTCAGACCGACCTGCCCCGAAACTCAGGCACCAAACCAGGGTTTTAGGAACATACTATTTTTGGCATGTTCCCACGACAGCTGCAGCGCCATCCCCTGACTCAGTTCGGCATTGGCAAGAGCAGCCTCCTGGATTGCCCACCCTGCAACTGCAGGCAGTCTGAGGCAGTCAGGAGGCCCGACGAGATAGTACATAGGGACTTCCCATGCACTTCACAGGTAGGCAAGAGGCAGTCAGTAGTCTTCAGGATTCGGCAGCAACACTCTGGAGGAGCGCTGCAGTAGTGGTAGTAGCGTTAGCCTTAGTCTTCAGCGTCGGGCGCTTGCACCGTTAGTAGTAGTCTTCAACGCTGGGCGCCATAGCTAGAGTAGCACTAGAGAGAGAGAGATTGGGCGGAGGCCAGGGATACTTACCTGCAGCGCCGTTGCTCCAGTTTCGTCTTCGAGGAATCGAGGTACCTGCAACACAGCGCCATCTTCACAGGTCAGTACCTGATATACAAGAGAGAGAGAGAGAGTGCTTCTTCTTCCTCTTCTCAGTCCACCATCTCCTTCTTACCCTCTCGCTATCTGACTTCACTGCATCAACAGACTACGAGAGAGAGAGAGAGAGAGAGAGAGAGAGAGAGAGAGAGAGAGAGAGAGAGAGAGAGAGAGAGTTGGGTGACATTTGGATCCAGACTCGACATTGGACTTCAGACATCTCGAAGAGGGGTTATTTGGGACTTGGAACGAGACTTCGTGTTTGACGACTTTCCCATCTCCCCCTTCCTCTTCTTCGTTTGATCCCCTCCTCTTCCTCTATGTATGTCTGGACCTGGCGCCTCTTTCCCGTGTATAGCGCCAGGCTCCTTCACACCTTGTGATGGACATGATGCATGTTTGGTCTGCGTTTAAACATTGATTGGGCTAGCCATTTGCATTCTATCACTCTGCTTCGCTATCTTGTGCTACGTGAATGAGGTTAGTCCCGGTCAGGTCAGGATTTGTATCTAAGTCTTCCCTGTGCTATCAAACACCATTCTGTATGTATCGAAATGCACATTCCTTGTTGAGATTCCACTTGCATTGCATTGTCCATTCAGTCCTTTTTATCACATTGCGGATCCTCGGTTATTATGTACATCACCCATCTGGGCATGTAACAGTTGGTATCGGACCATCGCACGTGAATCCAGACAACCTGATCTGACACGTGTGCGGGGACTGAGTAGCTGACTAGTCTTGATTGCTTGATTAGAGCACACTAGTTAGCCCCCAAAATCACGATTTTGACCTCACTGCCGGAAATCGAAAAAAAATATATTTTCTTGGATTTTGTTTTCTCACTATTTCTGTCGTGGAAAATCGCAATAGCGCAACATCTGAAATTTCCGAGTTCGTTTTTCTTCTGAAATTCAAAATTTCGTTGTTGAAAATCGGGAATATCTTCTTTTTTGAAAATTTTCATTTCCTTTTGCAAATTCCCGTTATTTGGAAACCCAAAATATTTTTTTCGAAATCCGTTTTTTTTAAAAACGGCACGGGATCCCTCTTGCCAGATCATTCTCCAACTGCATGTAGTCTCATCTGTGTAATTCCAAATTTTTCTTTGTACTTCATTTTCAGAATTCTTTTATCATAAAATCATTTGCGGACTGAAAGTTCGAAATCTTTCTCGTGGATAATTTCGCACTTAAGGGGACTTGGGAGGCCTACTGAACTTGCAAACGAGTATTTTTTTTCTTTTTCTCGAATTTTTTCGCAAAGTTCAAACTTTTCCTTTTTGATTAGTGGCTCCTTATCTGGGCGATTTATCCCACCCCTCCCCACCTGTGTTGTTGCCCTCTCTGGTCTTCTCTCTATCCGCCTCCGGGTACTCTCTGCGGCAGCATTGGTGAGTTGCCACGTCAGCAGGCCACGTCACCAGGACACGGCAGCAGTGCCACGTCCGCAACCAGTCATGCAGCAGCAGGTCACGTCAGTGCATGGTACTCACCCGCTCCAAGACAAGCGGCATGGAGCAGCAGCCAGGCGAGACTACGGAGGCCTATGAGGCCCGCATGCTGGACATAGTAGCAAAGTACAAGCAACGGGCAGCTGTGGCAACATCCGCACGTAAGAAGGAAGACGAGGAAACAGAGGAACAGCGTCGTCTCGCTGAACAGCAGCGACAGTGGGATGAGGCAACAGTGCAGGCCGCAAACGAACGTCGTCGACTACGCCGAGACAAACTCCTCGAATGCGAGGGGGATATCGAGGTGATGGTCGGCGAATGGGCAGTGGCTGCTGAAGAGGAGGGTGCCCCCTCTGTTGTGCGTGGCCTTGCAACCACAATCGAACATGTGAGCGGCTTGGTCGCCACCTGTGCAGCACAGCAAGAGGACATCCTCTACATGGACACCCTGGTCCGGAAGCAGATTCGAACTATTGATGAACTGCTTGACCGGGTACGCCGGCTGGAACAGCAGCTTGCAACAGCCACCCCCGTCGGACCCTCCAACTTGACGGATCGCGTCGTCTCGGAGATCGACGTCGAGACTCTCAAAGACGACGCTCTAACGACAAATCAGCGATTTGACCAGCAGATTTGCGCTGCTGCAGCCAGTCCAACCGCGACCAATCGCGAGAGCATTCTGAAGTTTGATGGCCTCCCGATCTTCTGCGATGCAATGAAGGTGTCGCCAGTTCGAACTGAAGTTGGACATTCACCATGTCATCAACCCGAACCGGCACGCATACTTATACTCCCGCTCGGGAGGCGCGTGCCAGGCATGGCTGGACAACATGTTGTTCACGCATAAGGTCACAGTCTCCTAGCTGCATACGAAGATCAGCTAGGCTGATCTCAAGGCAGCATGGCATAAGCTGTTCCAAGTGGAGCTGCCCGAGCTTCAGGCAGCTGAGAAACTTCAATGGTTCTATCAGAACGACCTGCCAAGCACAGACTGGATCACCGAGTACCAACGCAGAACGCCTTGACGCAAGTTGCGGAGACGCTCACCACAAGTGAGCAGCTTTTTGATAAGGCCTCGCAGATCATCATGACCAACATTGAAGCCAAGAATTCGGGCTATTCGTCTGCTGCAGGCCAGGGCAGAGGACAACATTGGTCAAAAGTGGCCGTGGTCGCAGCAACTACAGCGACCGAACCTTCAAACGAGGCTGCCTCTTCTGAGGAAGGAGACAGATTGGCAGCTGCCCGGGATGGTGGCCGCCCCGCTAAAGGGCGAGGACGCGGCAAACCGAAGACACACACCAATTCAGCCCCCGGGGTCGAACCAGCGGCTCAAGAGCCTTGGACACATTACGGTATCTCGGAAGGCGTGTACCACATCCGTTCTAAGTACCGATACTGCTTGTGGTGCAACAACGCGGTGCACAACACCGCAACGTGCCCCACACCGGTCCAAGCCAAATCCCCTTCGGGAAAGTGAGCACCGCCGAGAGTGATGCGGCTGCACTCTCAACGCCTTCGGAATCGGTTGCTTCGCGAGTGACCTCTCTTCATTCTGAGGCACATGCGGAAGTCGACAGTCATCTCTTGTATTCTTATGAGGACTATGCTGCCCGACTCGTTCCCTCGCTGGGTTCTCAGGCTCAAGGACAAGATGTGTATGTGGTTTCTTCTCCGTCCAGCAACAGCAACAATAGATCGTCTTCAAGTGGCTCTTCAAGGGATTCGACGCACGAGTTCAACATAGAGGTCTTAAACCGTTGACGTCCGAGGATTTTGCATGGTTTCCTCTCCCTTCCTCAGGCTGCTTGTCGGGACCGCAATGCGCAGCACTATGCGCTCATCTCGACATATACTCACCCTTCTATGCACCACCATCTTCGCTGACGGATGACGAAGCTGCGGTGGGGGACATCCTTGCGTATGTTACCAAGGTGGCCTGCGAGTTTCGCATGCAGCGGTACGATGATAACAATGCACCGCTCCTTTATGTCTACATCCAAGTTGGGCCAGCGTCCTGCAGCGCTTTGCTGGATAGCGGCGCAACTCGTAATTTCATCAGCCAGTCCTTTATCCAAAGGGCCGGTCTTGGCGCACAAGTTCAAAGGAAGCCAAACCTGACGGCGATCAAGTTGGCGGACGGTCGGACGCAACAACTCCTCGATCGCTACATTCAAGCCGTGCTGGTTTATTTTGCACCTCGTGCATGCGAACCGGTGACGTTTGACGTCTTGGACACGGACTTCGACATTATTTTGGGCATGCCTTGGCTTGCAAGTGCGGATCACACGGTTAACTTCCATCATCGGACACTTACCGTTCGTGACGCCTTCGGCGTCGAGGTACCGTGTACCATTCCTCTTCCACACTCCTCGATCCGGTGCCAAGTTGTAACGGCCAAGTCTTTTCGGGCCACTTGCGCTTACGAGCGGACCGACGAGATAGGCTTATGTTTTCTACGAGCCGCCACGATGACCGAATCTTCACCTATGGACTTGTCCTCAGACCCCCGAGTGGTACGGCTGCTCGACGAGTTCACCGACATCTTCGAGTGTCCTACCGGCATGGTGCCGGACCGGCCGATCTCCCACGAGACCATTCTTGAGGCCGGTGTCGTGCCGTCGAAAGGATGCATCTATCGCATGAGCGAGGAAGAGCTCGAGGTTCTCCGCGCTCAACTCGACGATCTTTGGGACAAGGGCTGGATCCGCCCTAGC